GGTGGGGGGGGGGCCCCAGCCACTGCCCCTGTCCTGCCCAGCTTTTGCATGCGACCACAGGGCTCTCAGCACCAATAATGGCCCCACCTTCCAGTTATTCCCCCACCCCCGCCAGGAATTCAGAAAATACCGGACATTGCACATTTCCGGTATTTTCTCAATTTTTTTACCGGACAGAGGGCGCAAATACCGGACTGTCTGGTAGAAAACCGGACACCTGGCAACCCTAACTCCATCTGAGGATTCCCTTCAAGCAAGTGGAGAGATGGTTCAGACTCAGCATATGGTGCAGATTTGATGATCAGAGGCACAAACTGAGACTTCGGTGAACTAAATCTAAGCTCTTGGGACCTCTCAGTCTATTCTTATTGTGTTTGTGTGAACTGAACTGCTCAAATTTTAATTTTAGTTTTCTTTTCACTTATGTTTACTGTAACTATGGACATTCTCTGTGGGTTATAAAAAAGCTGTGTTCTGTGGTAAGAGTTAGATTATTTGTTTCTTCATGAGATTTTATAAAGTCATTCAATTCATTTCTTTAGTTTCTTGCTGGTCTCAGTGGTTAAACTACAAGCAGTCAATAAGAAACAAATACATAATTTACTGTGGAAGGCAGGGGTGTCAAACTGCTAGGCCTTGGGACATCCTCAGCCAGAGCCGCAATGCAATCTGGCCTGGGAGCCCCTTCCCACCCACACCCTGCCCTCTCCATCCCCTCCCCAAAGCCATGGCTTCAGTGATTGCTGAGGGCTTAGTGCAGTGCAGTGCAGCAGCAGCGACTGGGATGGCAGGAGCTGCAGGGAAGCAGAGTGTACTCGGCTGGTGCACTCACTCCACTTCCTCCCCACTCCTGCCACTGCTGTCATGTTCTCAGGAATAGGGTGCCATGGAAGGAAGGGCAGAGCTTGGGGAAGAGGAAGACAGCCTCCTTCACCCCACTGAGATGCCCAGGCTGGATTGTGCAATGGCTCCTGCCTCAAATGGTCTGTGAGTCAGGAGTTTGAGAGTCCTGCTATAAAAGGTTTATTCAAGGTCACAGAGTGAAACCATTTGGGGGCATCTGTGCAAATTTAAAATTCTAGTTGATACCACAAAGTAATGAAACTTCTGTGCCATGGAAGGCCATTCAGCGTGCCCCCCTCTTCTGACAAGCTTTAAGCGAGTATCACTCATTGTTAACAACCATCAGCACCTGAACATTTGAGAGTCCTGCTATAAAAGGTTTATTCAAGGTCACAGAGTGAAACCATTTGGGGGCATCTGTGCAAATTTAAAATTCTAGTTGATACCACAAAGTAATGAAACTTCTGTGCCATGGAAGGCCATTCAGCGTGCCCCCCTCTTCTGACAAGCTTTAAGCGAGTATCACTCATTGTTAACAACCATCAGCACCTGAACAGGCGGAGAAACACACAGGGGCTACATCTAGACTACATCCCTTTTTCGGAAAAGGGATGTAAATTAGACTTATCGCAATTGCTAATGAAGCGGGGATTTAAATCTCCTGTGCTTCATTAGCATAAAAATGGCTGCCGCTTTTTTTCAGCACGGAGCTTTACCAGAGAAAAGCACCAGTCTAGATGCTGATTTTTCAGAAAATAAAGACTTTTTCGACAGATCCCTTATGCCTCCTGCCTGGGAATTCGCCTGTCACAGATGGCTATCCTACTTTTCAAGCCACATCACAAAGCAGCCAGAGCACTAGACTTGGCCAGCTGCCTTTATCAGAGTTCTAAGTCAAGAGTTCAATATTTGGTTTACTTAACAGCTGACACCTCCTGCAGGACAGCCACTAATATTAGTCTGGACTTTTATTTGAAAACATGGTGTGGTGAAACCTGAATTTTTTGTCATGTATTTTATTAATCTGAGGCATCAGTATTGCTCTGTATGTTGCACAGCTACCCAGTGGATGCAAAAGGGTTAAAATTCTACTCCTGAAACAGTCAAATCAAGAAAGCCAGCAAGACAAAGCAATGTCCCACTGACTAGGCAATCAGCATCTAACAAGAGAAAGCTACAGCAAGCAAGACAAGAAGGGAATGAGTTGGGAAACAACTGGAAGGTAGCTAGAATAAGACTGGCAGTCTTGGAGGGACTCTGCACCCTGTACCTGGAGAAACAAGGAGGACAAGAGGAGGAGTCAGAGCCAGAGTCCAACACAGCTTAGCTGGCTCATCATGGGGGCAGTGGTTTGGCCAGGATGGAGGTACTAACTAACCCAAGGACTTTCAGATTCTGTGCGTCAGGGGGCTAGTAAAGGGTTAGGTGCTTTGAAAAGGCTGCCTGTGTCTCTTTAAATGCACCTTGAGAGTGTTGCACCCAGTGCAAGCTTCCGACAGGAGTCTGACTTGGCAGGCAGTCACAGAGCATCTGCGATAGCAGATACTAAAGGCCTCTGACTCCTAGAGGCCATGGGCCTGCCTATGTGGATCTGTATGGGTCTCTGTGGCCTGGCAGACTAAAGGGATCACTGTCAGAAGTGTGTTTACAACATACTGGATCCCATGACTCAGTGACACAATAAAACTGCTATTAATAATATTAAGATTATTTAATAAAGTTTTGAGCAGGACTGATACCTCAACCATCCAGAATTAGAAGACTTGCTGTTAATAATGCTGCATATCTCTTCGGCCTTCTTTTTGCTGACCTTATCACTCTCTTGTTACCCCTTCAGTTTTGGGACCCACAATCACCAGGTGCACCATTTTACATAAAAGTGGAGGAGCTGAATTAAAATTCCAGGGGCTACTCAGGCACCTGAAAACACAAAAGCTGCGTCTAGATTAGCATGATTTTCCGGAAATGCTTTTAACGGAAAAGTTTTCCGTTAAAAGCATTTTCGGAACAGAGCATCTAGATTTGCGGAAAAGCGTCCGTGCCAAAGCACTTTTTGTGGAAAAGCATCCGTGCCAATCTAGACGCGTTTTTCTGCAAAAAAAGCCCCAATCGCCATTTTCGCAATTGGGGCTTTTTTGCAGAAAACAAATCTGAGCTGTCTACACTGGCCCTTTTGCACAAAAGCTTTGCCCAAATGGGAGCAGCATAGTATTTGCGGAAATTCAAGTGGCCAGTGTAGACAGCTGGCAAGTTTTTCCAGAAAAGCAGCTGATTTTCCGGAAAAACTGGCCAGTCTAGACACAGCCATCGATTCTTAGAAGATAACTTAGAAATCAGCTGATAGAAACATTACATCTAATTCCTTTATTTAATAACAAGCATTAAATAATGTCAGACCACTCAGCTGCAATACTAACATATTTCTCACATCTTGTATCAACTCTCTTAAAGGCTGCTGGTTAGATTTTAAATTGTAAAATATATTCTTACCTTGTTCCTAATTCTTGAATACAACAACTGAAAAATTTGTAGAAAAATCTAGATTACTTTCTATCACTTTTTGCAGTTCACCAAGCTTCAAATAGATCATTTAACTTTGGAAACATACTACTATGGCAGGCCCTGTGAAATTACTGCATCTGCCTGGGGCTGAGGGGGTGTTACCTCATTACAAATAATAGACTAGAAACTGGTTTTAAAAAGATGTGACAATGATACTTTCAAATCACCTTCACAGTATTGTCCATCCCATATGGTGAAAAATCATGAATCAGGCTCACCTAAAATCATGTGGTTGGCTTTAAACTCACACGTATGTGTAAAAATAATAGATTAGGGATTTGCCTACACTTAGAAGTTTAAAGCACAGCCACAGCAGCTCTTTAATGTGGCAGTGTGGTCATGGCAGGAACCCTGCAGGTAAACAACCACCATGAGGAGGGCAGCTAACAGCACTGGGAGCCTGATTAAGCTGGTGCTGTACAGTGCTGTAGCTTCCTGCACTGGGAGAGGGGGGATGTTTTTTCACACCTTTGAATGAGAAAGTTACAGTACAGTAAGTGGCCACAGACAATTCTTTGGTCTTTTTATTTGCCTTCTGGTTTTTTTTAGCCTTTTGGATGCACTGGGGTCATGTTTTGAAGATTTCTCCATGGTCACAAGGTCTAAAACATTTTTCTTTAAGAATGAAGGCAGAAATCCTCACAAAGCCATTTGATCCTAGGAGCTGAGGTTTCAAGGAAACAAATCATCATAAGGCTCATGACAAAATCATGAGAGCTGGCAACAGACTTTTACTTCTATTTAAAGGCTAATTAATTTCCAGAAGGCTCTTAAGCGCAAGCTATAGGACTGACCGGCAGGTTTCACAGGAGAATAGTTAAACCCAACTCCAAGAACATTTCACGTTTTAAAATGAATAAGACACTTCTGAGCTGCAGCAGGGCCGCCGGCGGCAGGACAGGGAGCAAGGGGGGTGGCAGCGCCGGAGCGGCGCAGTGCGGACAGAACCGCACGTTCCTCCTGCGCCGCGCGGTGCCCGTTGTGAACGCGGCCGGCCCTGCGCACCTCCGCGGCC